AGGTAACTGGATGGCACAGTCCCTGCTGGTTCACGCAGGTCTCTCTGGTGTTTCAGCACCCCGCAAGTCCTGTGGGTAAGTAGATCGCGCAGTCCCTGCTGGGTTGCACAGGCCTCTATGGTGCCCCTGCACCCTGTAGTTCCTGCTGGTGGGCAGCTGAATGGCACCAGTCTCTCTCGGGCTCCAGCTTCCTACTGTTCTTGTGGGCTACTAGACCACACAGGCCTCTGTGGAGCCCTTGGTCCCGCCACTGGTGGCTGGGGAGTGCTGCTGCCCATTGGGGCTCAACTCCTGCTCAGCTTTTGCTGTAGTTTTTGGGGATGGGTCTCAGCTGCTAGTCTGTGCTTCTGTTGCCTGGGGATGGATGTCTGCTCCCCAGCCTCTGTTGCTGGGGATAAATCTCGACTCTGATGGGGCTGCTACTATGGGGGTGGTGCTGGGCTCCCGGCTGTCTGTGGCTTCTGTGACCAGCACCTTGGGAGCTCCACTACTGTGCACCAGTCTGTGTTGACACAGAGTGTCCACTGGTCCGATGGTGCCAGGTGTGCTGGTGGGCTCAGGTTGCTGGGCCCTAGCCTCTCCCACTGCCTCCTCCCTGGAAGACCCGGGATCTTCCAAAATGGTGGGACCTCCCTGTGGCTCATGGAGAAGCGCCCTGGAGGGCTGCTTACCGAGGTAGCCAGCTGCTCCTATGTACAGCACAGGAACCTTCTGCTCCACGTCTCTGCACTGCTCGGGTTTGGTTGTCCACCTTCACATCCACTCAAATTCTCTCACACATTCACTCACTCTCTCACACACTCACCCTCCCTCCGGTCCTGCCCGCTGCCATCTTCTTGAATCTACTTGGACTATTTTAACAGAATAACACAGACTACATGGTTTAAACAACAGAGGATTATTTTCTCACAGTTCTGGAGGTTGGAAGCCAGTAAGATTGGTTTCTGGTACAAACCTCTCTTGGTTTTCAGACTGTACCTTCTCCCTGTATCCTCACGTAGCCTTTCCTCTGTGCATGTGCATCTCTGTCTCTTCCTCTTCAACATGTTTCTTCTGGTCATAATGAATTTGGACCCCTCTATTTTGACCTCATTTAACCATACTTACCTCCTTAAATTCCCTTTATCCAAATATAGGGCTTAGGCCTCCAACACATGGATTAGGGTTGTGAAGCACATCCTTCTACCCACCTCCACATTTCTCCACCGCCACCCACCCTCTTTGGCAACCATCAGCTTGTTATCTATATCTAAGGGTCTGTTTCTGTTTTTTTTTATTTATTCATTTGTTTTTGTAGATTCCATATATAAATGATTTCACACAGGATATAGATAGATATAGATATAGATATACACATACACATACACATACACATACACATACACATAGATATAGATATGGATATAAACCACATCTTCTATAGCCATTCGTTTATCTATTAGGCAAGATAGATAGCTGCTAGGGCAGGAGGAGGGAAAGGAGGGGGGAATAAGGGAGATTATCTCACCCACTGAACAAAAAAGTCAGCAGTCTTGGGACTCACCAATATAAAGTTGCCAGATGTTCTCATAAATTCTGGGAAAAGCCACAACAATATAAAAGGGGGACCTTGAAATCTAGTCTACCTGGCAGGGTAACCTTGAAAACTATGGGGGGGGGGGAGTATAAAACCGCTGAACCTCTACCAGGCAGTGTGCTCAAACTAGCTGAGTTGCCCACTTGTGCTTTGTGCCAGGAGTATTTTTAATAAATTCGCTTGCTTTGCTTTCTTAATAAATTTGCTTGCTTTGCTTCAACACTGCTTTCTGTCACTCATCTGAATTATTTCTCACAAGTACAACAAGAGCTGAGGAGGGGAGACCTCCCTCCAATTCAGACAGCTGTCCAATAACATATTGATGGACACCTAGGTTAGCTATTGTTAAGTAATGCTACAATGAACATAAGGGTGCATATACTTTTCAAATTAGTGTTTTGTTTTCTTTGTATAAATACCCAGAAGTAGTATTGCTGCGTGTACGGTACCTCTACTGTTAATTTTTTGAGGAATCTCCATATTGTTCTCCATAGTGGCTACACCAATTTACATTCCCATCAACAGTGCATAAGGGTTCTCTTTTCTCTATATCCTTCCCAGCACCTATTATTTGTTGATTTATTAATTATAGCCATTCTGACAGGTGTGAGGTAATAAATCATTGCGGTTTTTAATTCACATGTCCCTTGTGATTAGTGATTTAGAGCATCGTTTTATATGTCTATTGGCCATTTGCCTGTCCTCTTTAGGGAAATGTCTAGCCAGGTCCTCTGCTCATTTTTTAATTGGACTGTTTACTTTTTTTGGTGTTAAGTTATATGAGTTTCAGTATTTATCACTCAAAGAAAAAGAAATAATTGGTATCTGAGTAAAACATTGAACTTCTGGTTGATAATAGAAGAAGAGCTGTGGTATGTTACCTGTAAATGTGATAACATATGCAGGGAAAAAAAAGATATTTTTATTTTAAAGTAGCCTTATGACAGAAAGTGAATGTTTGCATGTAAGTCCAGGATTATGTAGGGAGTAGGGGGAGGGATAAAAGCCATCTCACATGTTCTTAGAGGAATTAGATGGAGACTTGAGGTACTGGCTAGGAAAGGTGAGTAGAGCTCAAGGAGGAATAAGATCTTTCTGGCTGATGGGGTTGAATACCTGGTAATATCTCCCACAAAGCATGAATGTCCTAGACTCTCCAGCACAAGGGCTCTCTGGACACAAGGAACAAGAAATTTAATGGTTGTTATTCAGCAAGTGGATATGACTGTTGGTGACTCCAATCCCAGGTCTGTTGGCCAACTCCAATCCCAGGGCCACTTAAGTTATCAAAAACAATCTTTTTTACCCTGGCCAGTTTGGCTCAGCAGTAGAGTGTCGACCTGCAGACCAATGAGTCACAGGTTTGATTCTGGCCAAGGGCACGTACTTCAGTTGAGGTTTGTCCCCAGCCATGGTAGGGGTTGAGTGGGAGGCAACCAGTTGATATGTCTCTCACATCTTTGTTTCTCTCTTTCTCCCTCTCTCTCCCTCCCATTCTATCTGAAGATAAATAGTAAAATATCTTTGGGTGAGGATTAAGGGAAAAAAAACCCACAAAAAACCCAAAAGCAATCCTTGTTTTCTACCCTCTGGCAATAAAAGCAATTGTACATTTACATTACTAAGGGAAGTTTCTAAAATGCCTATTCCAACAATAAAGCAAGATATCCTCCAAGGAGACTTGTGGACTTCAATGTGAAATCTACCTGGAAACTTGACCTTGGCAGATACTCTAGTGCAGAAAGCCAAGAGGAATGCTAAGGTCAACATTATAGCCTACAACCTCATGAAAAGGAAATAGGTATTAGCTATAAGACAATGTAACCTTTTCTCTTTTTATTCACAAACATTAAAGATGTGGTTGTTGGGCTATTATGAGTGAACAGCTCAATCTTCTTAAGGATTCTTTCCTATTCCTATTCCAAAGAGATTTGTTTTGGGGCTTTGAAGAGTTATAATGGAACAAGTTACCAATTTATTCAAATGGGTCCACCAGGTATAATAAGTATCCTACCAGACTGAACTATTTATTGCACTAAATTAATCCCTTGATTGGTCTATTAGCCTCATAAGACTTAGTATTTCTAAGGATTAAATATAATTCTCAATCAATTATATTTTTATTATGTCATTACTATTGATTTTTTCCATTGGACAAAGTGTTCCTTTAACTTTAAAACAGAAGCAGTACAATGATAATAGACTTATATTTTCTCTTTTTAATAAGAAGATTTGTATTTTTTTCTTTTAAATGATTTTAAATTATTTTAGTTCTTAGCCCTTCATACCCAGAGATTCTCAGAGAGAAATCATTGTATATAATGAATTAACTTTTCTCCAATGCATATAAAGTGATTCTAGCCGTAAACAGTCCTCAAGAGAATTCAGAAAATTTTCACTCAAATCATTAAAACCTGTTTGCATAAAATTCTCTCTTCTGTAGTATGTTCTATGAAGTTTATGGTGCCCTTTCATAGAAAACTTCTTCATTACAATAAAAAATAAGGTAAAATAAAAAACCAACATTGGTTTCCTTAGTCAGTGCCATTTTGCAAAATGCTCCCTCACTATTTTTTTTTTTAAAGAATGGAGAATCTTTTATTTTATTTATTTATTTTTCTTTATTGATATTACAGAGAGAAGAAGGGGAAGGGAGAGATAGAAACATCAATGAGAGAGAACATAGATTGGCCGCCTTCTGCATGCCCCCCACTGGGGATCGGGCCCACAACATGGACATGTATCCTGACCTGGAATCCAACCAGTGTACTTCTGGTGCATGGGACAATGCTCAATCAACTAAGCCACACCTGCCAGGGCATGATTTTTAATAAACTCGTTTTCTGAGGCATTCCGGGGGCTGAAATGTAAAAGGTCTCTCAGTTTACAATTTAGGAATATACTTAGGAATTTACTGTGGAATATAACATTTGGGTTCAACCGTGGTCAAAGATCTCGTTGGTGAAAAGACCTTCCAAATCCTAGGCTAATATCGTCAGTGGAACATTAGTGTATAAAACCGTCTCCATAATCTTATATAATAGGGTCAAATCTAACTTTACAAGCTCCTCATTTCCCTAGCGCCTTCAAAACCAAGGGAGCCCCGGTTAATTTTGTGGCAAGGGCTATGCACCACAAGGGGCTTAAACTGCACCCTCAATTCCTGCAGTAGTGGCACAGCTCCTGGTCACATCCCGCCTCCAGGAATCCTGGGGGCAGGAGCCGGCTTGCGGAATCTGCCAGGTGCAAGGTGAAAGTCGGCAGGGAGGGTGCAGGGCAGGCCCAACACGCGAGGGGCGGAGAGGAGCGCGCGAGGGGGCGGTGCTCGGGGCTCGGTAAGCGCCAAAGGCCGCTGCACCGCCTCCCGGGGAGGACGCAGCCCCGCCCCGTCCGGTCCCTTCCGAGGTGTTCTGGTCTGTCCTGTCCCGCTGCGTCCTGGCCGTGTGCACTTCGCACTCAGTCCGTGCAGAGGGGCGCTCGCGCGTTCCCAGCACAGCCATGGCTCAGCACTTCTCCCTGGCCGACTGCGATGTGGTCGGCTTCGACCTGGACCACACCCTGTGTCGCTACAACCTGCCTGAGAGCGCCCCGGTGAGTGGCGCGGGATGTCTGGGGCGCACGGAGTGCAGCCTCCGTAGTGGCTGGGGCTAGAATTCCCTCCTGGTTCAGGGGCAGCCAGTGCTGCAGGCCTGCAGCCGCCGAGTCTTTGCGCAGAACTCGGCCTCCCACCGCGAGGTGGGGCCACTGGGTGTATCCCTGGTCTCATTCGGTGCAGCGGGCTCCGGCTTAGCCCCGCCAGAAGTCACGACTGAGAGATGGTTAGGAAGAAAAGGGGGGAAGAACAGACAAAATGTGCAGGATTAGACTGGGAAACCAGTTCCTAAGGCAGAGGAAGGGCGGGGCTAGAGGAATGGGGTTCCTTTGCAGATCACAGGCCTTGGGACTTTTAGCAAGTCATTTTGGGCATCGGCAGCGCCCCGCCACAGCCACCTGGTTAAAGGCTTGTATTTTCCTTGGCAGCATTTTTTCTTTTGCACCTCTACGCGACCACCTGTCAGTTTTTAAACACCGCAGTCAGGGAAAGATTGTGTGGTGTAGTGGAAAGAACACTAGCCGAAATGTCATTGAGATATCTTAGCCCTAATTTTGCCTTCTACCAAGAGAAGAACATAACCTTTGCACACCTACGTGCTCCATCCACTTTGAGTAAGTTTAATTCTCATAACAGCCTGCAAAGTGTGGGTCCTCACTGTGCTTTGGAAGGGAAGGGAAAGTGGAGCATGTATGATTCCACACCTGTACCCTCAAATGAATTGCCAACCCCACCCCACACTCATTACTTTTGTATCACAAGAAAACGTTGTGGAAAATTAGCATATTTGTGTGTGTGTGTGTGTGTGTGTGTGTGTGTATGTGAAAGATCTATGCATCCAAACAGAAAAAATTATTTATGAGCACTGTTTCAAAGCAAGGACTGCAGCCAATCTGCCTAGCATGGGGCACCAGCTCCTCTGTTACTGGTTCTGTGACCTGGGCAAGTTACTTAACCTGTATCTATCTTCAGTTTCTCCATCTGTAAAATGGGGCTAATAACTGGATTTACATCAAAACGTTGTTATAAGTACTAGACAGGTAATAGAGGTATAATGCTTAGAGAAGTATCTGGCACATACAGGTGTTTGCTTTTATGGTTACCACCCAAACCATTCTGAAGCCTCACCATTTATGAGTAGAGCTCTAGGCCATGTGCAGACGTCCACCAAGTTCCACATTAAGGTGAGAACAGTGCCCCAACTCGAAGTACAAGTACCCAAAGGTCAAAACAGTGTCTGAATCACTTGTGTTTTCTATGCAAAGATGCTAAACAAAAATTCTGTACTGTTCCTGCTATTATACTTCTCTGTTTTCCCTCTGTACAGGTGTTTCCTTAGTTACAGTGAGAGTTAAGAAGGCTTTTCTTTACTTCTTGTTCCTTTGGCCACTACTTCCTCTAGGTCTTTGATTCATATTTTTCTTCCCTCTGTGCCTTTAAAATCCCCTCCTGGTTCACATTTTCTGCATCTCCTCTGTAGTCACCTTCATTTGGAAGAAATATTGTTAAAAACCACTGTCATGTTAGAGCCAAACTTATGCATTTGTGAGCATAAGATTTCAGAATACAAGATACTTGAAGATAAGGATTCTTTACTACAAGCCTCAAATATACATGATGTGAAAACAGTAATCTAGTGTGCTTTGGATCCTGTTTGGTTTAGAAATCTTTCAAGTACTTGCAGTGGGCTGAGCACTGTGGTAGAGTCGAGGATACAGAGATAATGCACAGGCCTTCAAGTGGCCTTTGAATGGACTTAGTTGCTGAAAGGTTAGTTTGGTTCCCCTGTGGCAAGGGCAGTATAGCCTGGCTCTGTTACCTCTGCTTGGGGCCCTGCTCCCTCCATTACACTAACTTCTCATATGTCAGGTCTCATTGTTTTTTTGGTTTTCTTTTTCTTTTGGTACATGCCCCTAGTGGGAACCGAACCCGGGACTCTCCGGTCCACAGGCCAATGCTCCAGCTGCTGAGCCTAACCAGCCAGGGCTCATCTTTTTTTTTTTTTTAATCCTCACCCGAGGACATGTTTCAATTTTTGTTCAGATAGAGTGGGAAGGAGAGAGAGAGAGAGAGAAAAATCAACGTGAAAGGGACACATCAAGTGGCTGCCTCCCACACGACCCCAACCAGGGCTGGGACGAATCGCAACTGAGGTACATGCCCTTGACCAGAATTGAACCCCCAATTCATTGGTCCACAGATCGATGCTCTAACTGCTGAGCCAAACCGGCCAGGGCTGTCAGGTCTCATCTTAAATAGCATTCCCTTTGTGAAGCCTTTCCCAGCCCCCTCAAGTTTACCCTTCCTCCCCGATACCATCCTCAGTTTTCCATAAAAGTCTTAATTTCTGGTAGCACTTACACAGGGCATTAAATTTTCCTATTTCTTGGAATGTTCCCCCAGAGCCTGGAACCATGACTCCTTGACAAAGGTGTGTCTGGCAGTTTATTGTGTATTCTGTGTGCCTGGCAAATAGTGGGTTCAATAAATAATTATGGAATGATTGAATAGATAATAAATAGTTTAATAACTGAATATGACACTTAAAACCACTATTCTAAAAGCATTCTGCTTTGATGAACTGGTTTGATTCTTACAACAGCACTGTGAGGTGGATGTTATTATCACAGCTGTTATTTGAAGATGAGGAAAACAAAGCACAAAAAGGACATGTACTTTATCCAGAGTCACCCAGCAAGGTGATCTGGCTTGTGGGTTTCTGGCCCGCTGCTACGCTTTTTGTATGCTGCAAAGCTCAGAGGAGAGGCCTGGAGTGGATGATGCTTGAGCTGAGTCTCAACACAGGAGAGAGTTGGCAGGTGAGGAGGCAGAGAGAAGCACTTTAGGCAGAGGAAATAACAGCCAGGGCAAGGGCCTGGAGGTGGTGTCAAGCCAAGAGTGGGGCATAGCAGGAGATGCCGAAATCAGTGGTGGCTGCATCCTGGGATGCTGTGAGTGCTTCTTGTCTCATAAACATTTACTATGTGCAAGTGTTGTGCAAATAGAGAACTGGGCGTGTCACCTTGCCTGCTGTGCGCCCGGTCCAAAGGAGCAACCACGCTCCACTCCTGCCAATGTTTGCTGTGAGGAAAGGCTGTCTTGCCAGACTTAACTTTTTAAAGAAAAGTTAGAAATCTAAACTTGTATGAGAAGTCTCTGAATTTTTAAGTGTTAGCTCATTTTCAAACAGCAGTATTTTGGCAAAGAAAAATATAGGACACCCAGTTAAATTTGAATTTCAAATAACAAAAGCATTCTTAGTATATGTTTGTTCCAAATATTGCATGGGATGTGCTTGTATTAAAAATTTATTAAAAATCATGTGTTGTTTGTCTGAAAATCAAATTTAGCTAGGTATTTTATATTTTATCTGGCAACTTGAGTTAGGAACAGACATAATATCTGCTCTGCACATGGCCCATAGGGCACAGATTTGCAGCAGCCGCTGCGGCATGTGCAGTATTATCAGTCAGGTGAGACTGTGAGGGAGTCGGTGGCAGCTAAGCCTGAAAGAGGAAGGAGGATGGTCATGGGTGTCCCGTGCTATGGAAGTCTCTTGGGAGACTCAACATAATTTAAGGGAAAAGTTCCAAGAACCTAGGCCCTGGGACTAGAAGAGAAGATTCTGAGGCACGGAGTCCCCCGCTTTTCTCAGCACCAGTGTTCTCTGCTTCTCCTTGCACATTGACCCCATTCTCTCCTGTTACCGAAGTGTCTCCGAGAGGGAAGGAACACAGCTGTGGACGCCTGTGTTGGCAGCCTACTAGAAAGGGCTCCTTTGTCTCAGGAAGGCACCTGACCCCTATGAATCATAGTATTTATCAGTATTGTCAAGGGGGTGAGAAATGTCCAAAACAGAATAAAATGCCTTGACCAGAAGCAAGTCTAACAGTGTACAGTAACCATTGGTAGCTTGAAACTGGCCAAGGCAGTAGTATTTATACCATGAAAATGGGCAAATGCTACATGTCAGGGCCTTTTTTCAAACCAGCATGTGACCGATAATAATAGCAATGCTTACATTGAATGTCCTTATATGCCAGGCACAGCTCTAAGCTCTTTACATCTGTTAATCTCATGGCCCTGGTTTCTTGCAGGCAGGATCATGTGTGTGTGTGTGTTTTATTGTCCCTAGTATGTTATATTTCAGAATGATTCAGTACATTTTCATTGATATTTTAAATGATTGAATAACAATGTATGTAACATATAAGCCAGTAGCATTCAGTCATCTCTGGGCTTTAGGAATCCTGTAGGGGCTCCATCTCCAAGTCTTGCAACTTGCGGGTAGTTTTAAGAACTATCAGGTGTAGTTCTGAATCGCCCCCAGGGTTGAGAACTGATACATAGTGTTGATGTAATATGTGTCTGTTTACAGTTGACCTGGATCAAGGTCACATTGCATTGCATGGGAGTGCATTTATAGTGACTTTAATGAGCTTTATGACACAGAACAACTCTGTTTGACAAGGAGCCTTTACTTCCTCCACACTCATCCTCTGACACTCAAACCCTAACCCCCACCTTCAGCTGTGTACCCACTGGACCTGGCCCTTCGCCTCTGGATTCACTCAGTTAAGTGCAACTCTTGGAGGTGCGAGTGTGACCTCACCACCTCAGGGAGGCCTTCTTCCACTCCTTTTGTTGTGTCTACACCTTCTTCTCCCTGTGCCACTCATGCTGTCTAAACCAGTCTTGGGTTCACTGTACAGAAGAAGGGTCGGGTTGCTTCTTGTGCCCTCGTAGACACTGCTGAGTCTGACCCCAGACCATGGTTCTACCTCAGGGTCAAGTGCCTGTGATGCTGGCCTACGAGCCCTCTCTGATGGAGAATGGGGTGAGGCTGATGTACACCTTCATCTTTTGTCTCCTTTTTGTTTGGTATGCACAGTTCTTTAAAAATTGAGCCAGCTCTGTAAAAACAAATGAAAACATATTTCACTCAAAAAGCTGGGATTTTGTTGTTGAAAAATCAGACCTATCATAGTCAGCAAAGCATGTATCTTTGCTCTTGCTTCCAGAGGCTTCTGCTGTCCTTTTCCCTCCGTTTTTCTTATGGTGGAAAAAGAAGAGAGATTTTCTGTACCCGATGGAGGCTACATGATTCCTCCTTTGGATCACCTGCCTGGTGCCCAGGTGTCTTTCTCTTTGAGACTCCTTTGTGTCAAATTACAAAACTGAAACAAGTAACCAGTTTGATGTCCTATATTCAAGGGAGAACTATCCATGGCGTGGGGAAAACAGCCTCTCCGGCAGTGGACCTCTCCCCCGGAAGGACTTGGGCAAGAGTGACTTTTAGAGACGTTAGAAGAGGCAGTGTGAAACAACATGCTTGGCTAGGAGGTTAGGGATTTCCTAATAAGGCGGGCAGGTCCTATTTCCTAAGGTAAGGTAAACTAATCCTGACTTGGAGGATTATGATTGGTGTATACTAGGTTTCCTTGACCAGGTGTGCCCCACACGTGCAGGCTGACTTAGCTTTAGCTTTGTGACAGGGCTGGGCCATGGGCAGGTTCCATTTTATGGGCCCTGATATTTGAATTAACTTTATTACCTGAGGTGGGGCCTTTCTAGCAAGGATAGACCAAGGATAGTTGTAATGCTAAAGTACTCAATATGTTTACCTTCTTGGTCATGTGTTCAATAAGTTTGCAAAGCTTTGCCAAGTCTTAATGATCTCCAACCCATTAGAATTCGGGAGAAAGATGAATAACTGTCCTTGGTTGTTTAACTGTGTCCCATGATGGTATAATTCTGGAGTATAAGAAAAGACACTATAGGTACCTGGGGCTGGCAGGGGTGGTTAAATTACTTGTGAAGGGGATTAAACCGAAGAGCTTTATAATTACAGATCTTTCCCCCCATCTACCCCATGTATGGTTCCATCAGGTCTTCAGGTCTGTGAAGTTAAGAATGAAGAGTGAATTTTATATTTAATCTCTTTTCTCCCCTTGTCTGCAGCTCATTTATGATAGCTTTGCTCAGTTCTTGGTCAAGGAGAAAGGTTATGACAAGGAATTGCTCACTGTGACTCCTGAGGACTGGGATTTCTGGTAGGTTCTTATTTTTAAGGTTTGCACATCCTTTCTGATTTCTAATTGTTGCTGATAACACTTTTATTTTTTATTCTCACCTGAGGACATTTTTTCCATTTTTGTTCAGGTAGAGTGGGAAGGAAAGAGAGGAGAGAGAGAGAGAGAGAGAGAGAGAGAGAGAGAGAGAGAGAGAAACATTGATGCGAAAGGGACACATCAAATGACTGCCTCCTGCACAACCCCAACCAGAGCTGGGGATGAATCGCAACCGAGGTACATGCCCTTGACGGGGATTGAACCCGAGACTCATTGGTCTGCAGGCCAATGCTCTAACCGCTGAGCCAAACCAGCCAGGGCATTGCTGATAACATTTTAATGCTTCCTCTTCTGTGGAGGCAGAAAGTGAAATGTGAACCTGAATCAAAGGACAAAATGCCTTCTCTAGCAAAAAGTTTAATGTTTAATGAATTAAAATCCTTTCTACTTTAAGTTTAGACTTGAATATGAAAACAAGTTAAGAGAATATGTGACTATTTCCACGTGGTTAAGTTGGCATTATTAAGAGTTTTTGGAGGTTATAAGAACTATCTCTAAAATTTACATCTTTTAGAAAGTTTTGTTTTATTGCCCTTCAAACACAGAACTATAGGAGAAGAGGAGGAGTCTTCATGCTATGAATAAGTATCTGAATTAGGACGTTTAGTTTTCTGTAATTTGGATAGGCAGTCCTCTGTCTAAGCCTCAATGCTTATTTCCTTCCTGGGTTAGGATTCTCAACTTCACACCATTTCCTTCGTCTTTCTTCTTCATTTAAACAACAAAACCAAACAAAAATCCTGTTAAATCACTTTAAATTGTTCAGTTGAAAATTAATAGTAATCCTTAAACACATGAAAAATATATGCAGAAATAATTCTGGAGCAACGGTGTTCATCTGTTTTGCATTCCTCCAATGTTTGGTTAGCCCTTTTTGAATTAATCCCTTTTGTTAAAAGGAAGAAAAAGAAACATTTTACTATATGAAACTGCTGACTCTGGAAATTTTCTGTGGGCTACAGTAAATAATACTTCTAAAGTACCCTGTCATTTTTTGTTTAATTCTCTTGGTATTTGGTGGCCATTATACCTCCTTTTATTATTTATAATAATGAATCTGTGCCTACTTTTCTTCCCAAATCCCACAAGTCTTTTACAGTGAAGAACCTAAAACGTAATATTTGACTTTCTTTCAGTTGTTTCTAATAATATACCTCACCCAGAGGGCTAGTTTTACAACCTGACCTAAATTGAGGCAAATTCTAAAAAGTAAGAAAAGACTCTGACTAAGATCTTAGCATGCAGAATATGAATATGTGTGTGCGTGTTATTTAATGGAAAACAGTTTCACTTTTTTTTTTTAATCCTCACCCTAGGATATGTTTTTATTTATTTATTTATAAAAGTTTTTTTCTTTATTAACTTTTTAGAAAGATAGAAAGGTAGAGGGAGAGATAGAAACATCGATGAGAGAGAACATTAATTGGCCGCCTCCTGCATGCCCCGCACTGGGGATTGGGCCCACAACCTGGGCATGTACCCTAACTGGGAATCGAACCGGTGACCTCTTGGTACATGGGTTGATGCTCAACCACTGAACCACATCGGCTGGGCTATTTATTTATATTTTTAGACAGAGAGAGAGAAAGAGAAACATTAATGTTGCCTCCTGTATGTGCCTTGACTGAGAATTGAACCCAAACCTTTTTTGTTGTACTTGTGGTTGAACCAACTGAGCCACTGGCCAGGGCAATGTTTTCACTTTTTCTTTCTTTTTTTCTTTATCCTCACCCGAGGACATTTTTTTTTCTTTTTGCGTTTATCTTCAGATAGAGCGGGAGGGAGAAAGAGAGAGAGAGAGACACATCAACTGGCTGCCACCCACACAACCCCAACTGGGGCCGGGGATAAACTGCAACCGAGGTACGTGCCCTTAGCAGGAACCGAACCTGGGTATCTCTGGACCACGGGCTACGCTCCAACCGCTGAGCCAAACTGGCCAGGGCACATTTTCGCTTTTTAACAGAGATATGCCATGATGTTCATTTTTGCTTCTCTTCGAGTTTTGTATTTCTCTTTTTAAAAGCTTAAGGATTTTAGAAAGTAAACATGTGCTGTCCTTCATTTGCTCACATAACTTTTTTTATATACTTGTTCTGTGGGTGATGTTTAATTTTAGAATTCTTGGATATTCTTAACTGTTTGATTAACATATTCACCTGAGTGAGAGAATGCCTTTTTCGCATTGTGACGTTTTGAAAATATAGATGATTATTTCTTGAGTTAAGTAAATACATGAATTGCTTGGTAATCAGACATTTCTATTTTAGTTGCAAGGGCTTGGCACTGGATCTGGAAGATGGGAACTTCATTAAACTTGCAGATAATGGCACCGTCCTCAGGTAATACATTATAGTTGTAAAGTCAACACTTTTCTCGGGGCACTTTATTTATTACTTCATAGCATTTTATCATTGAGGTATGCTTAAATAACTTTATTATTTTAGCCAATCAGATGACAGATTATCTGTGTGCCTGCGTGTCTTTGTATGAATTGTTTGAGCCATTTAAATACAAATCTCAAGCATTAGACTTAAATATCTAGTTTCTTTAAATTTTGCTCATCAGAAATATTTGCAGGAAATGCTGTAGAATGTTAGTAACTTGCTTCACATCATTGACCACCCCTACTGCAAAGGAGCCTTAGAATTACACTGTGTTAGGTAGGTAAGTAGGTACCTGGAATAAAACCATAATTCTTTGTATTAAGGTCAAAGGAGAGACTGGATGTTGGATAGGCGTTAGTGATCTATGCACACTTCTCTCTCATCCTCCATTTGTCCAAACTTGCCCCCATCATGCAGGATTCATGATGTGTCCTAGCTCCTTCGGAGAGTTTTTTAGATCGTTCAACTCTTCCGTCAATCTCTCCTGCACTCAGTGCTGACTTCCTTTCCTTCCCTGCTCTCAGGGTGAGTCCAACACTTTGAGTCTTGGTAAAAGTAGGGTGAGCAGTTGAGAAGTAGCTGCTGTCACTACTCCGAGCTTACAGGGAGATCATGAGGGAGCATCTATTTTCCCACATTGTGGATAGTACAGGCAAGTCAACTGTGGCCAAGCAGCTGTGAGATTTGTTATTTATACTAAGAGTCTAAGGAGAGACGCTCAGAGGTTACTTCTTACACATACTCTCCCTTTTGATACATCATTCTTTTTGCACAGTACAAACTCATGCCATCCCCCAGACCTTCCCCTAAGGTGCTGCTAGCTACAGCTGTTGGTGTGGTCCCATTGCTGATTGTTTTGTTATTCATTTGCATGTTTTTCCCTGGGCAACAAGAGGTAGAGTGTAAGTATGCATATACATACATACACAATGCAGCCTTGATCATGACTTTTAACTCTACTATCATTTTATTACAATGTATTTGTCTATCTTAAATCCTGGGTTAAAGAATGGAAAGCATTCCATGGTTTTGTTTTTTTATTTCATTGTTATGTGGGTTCTTCTCCCCTCCCAACACCCCTCCTGTAAGGTCTCACCCTCTCCACTCAAGTTCTAGCTAACCTGTAGTTTTTCCTGAATTTACTAATTTATCTTCTTGATGCCTGCTTTCATCGAATATAGTAGCTTCCTTGTCTGATCATATTTCACACTCAGGATTCCTCCATCTCTACAAATCACTTTCTAAAACATTATTAACTTCTTTATAAAAAGAAAGCTGTTTGTGATTTTTTTCCTCCCTTTGCCCTTTTTATTTAAATTTCTTTTTCCCTTAATTTTGCTTTGTTACCATAATATAACACCAAGAGAAGAATAATGACACTCTCTAACATTATCATTTCTCATAATAAACTACATAAACTATCAGCTGTTTCTCTATAGGCTTAGGGTCCTCAGTCAGGACAAACTGATGCAGGAGCAGTATTGTGAGCACAGAAAAGAGCTCCATCCTTGTCTTGCTATTCAAGCTTTGCCACATTTATCTCCCTGTCATCCATTGTGTTCTTAGCTACGTCATGTAGTTGAAAGGGCAGGATGCTCGCCCATCTTCACAGTCTCCTGTGCCCACGAGCTGGTCAGGTGCCAGGTGCCTCCCACCTCTCCTTCGGACCTGGCGCAGCTCCCACGCTAACTCACCTACCTGTTTCTCTTTCTCTCCCACTCCCAGACCCAATCCACGCTGTTGTTTTTCAGTTGTTCCAGATAGGTTAATCTTGTCTTCGTAGTTACATGACAACTTCTCAGGAAAGGGTAGTGTCATATTCCTTCCAGAGAGACTCTAGCTGTCTATTGTTTCTATGCTGTAGGCCCACAACGTGGACCTCAGAGTGAGCTGCCCCTGATCCCTCACCAGTGGGTGGATGAAATGGAGGAAGAGCTAGAGCTGTCGAGAGAAATGCCTTCTAGATTCCTAAATGGGGAAGTCATCCAATTGAAAACAGAAACAAAGAAAACTTTTATTAATTTTAGAGGGGCTCAACCACAGCAGGGCTGGAGGAAGGGGTGCTCAGTGGAGCCATTGATGAACAGTGTGCCTCACCTCCCCAAACCAGGGCAAGCCACGGCACGAAGATGATGACTCCCGAGTTGGTGGCCGAAAAGTACGGCAAGAAGGAGTGGAAGTACTTCATGTCCGACACCGAAATGGCTTTCCGATCAGGTATGGCTCATGGGGACAGCACTGTCCTCCCCTCCCCTTCTGTTTTGGACCCTGAACCTGCTACATGAGGACATGAAGAAGGCCTTCCTTTTGTCCTGCTGGGCATGATGCACAGGGAGCAGCTGTGGCTTTATAGGAATAAGATGTGTGTTTCTTCCACATGTCTGATGTCTCTTTGGCAGTTGGTTCTGTGTTCATTAAGGTGCTGTTGGTACTCTGTGTTTTGCAGCTGTTCTGGAGGGAAAAGATTAGCACTTAGGAGTAATACATCCCTTAGCTGTCTGTATTTTTATCTGTTTGTTACTTTTATTTCTCCATCCCCCATTTCTCCCTACGTTCATACTACCCACCTCTCCTGTTTTCTAGAATTTTCCTTCTCACTGCCAGTTCTAGTATCTTTTCCCTTCATATTTTCTTTCTTTAAATGATTGTACCCATTTTTTCCTAGTCTTTAAAGAGCTTCACAATGGGTACCCGTGAAAAGATGTTTCAGAAATTACTTGTAGACATAGATGTGCTTAAAGTAGGAGGGAACGATTAAAGCATTGTTTTAAACAGACCTTATTGAAAGTCGTAATTTTAGTTTTCCATTTTTTTTCTACATTTGTTTTTGCCATTTTCTCCCACATGTCAGTTTTGAAATGCATCTGTTCTCCTTTAGAAAATGTGATAACCTGAAAACTCCTTGACGCGGTCATACCTCCTTTGTTACATTTGCTGTCTTTTGAGAGTTGTGTTTTGTTTTTGCAGAGAGATGAAAATGTCAGGAAGTATGAGTACTCTTGATAAAGTAAGTTGTTAGGAAACAGTGAGACTTCACAATGGGGTTAGAAATAGAACACCTTCGCACACATCAACCAAAAGTAACTAGCGGAAGTCAAATGGATCAGTAGCCTTCTAGTCGAGTGAGGATAGAGAACAATTGTTTCTCCAAATGTAGGTGGTTGTAAATAACTCAGAAAATTTCTGACTTCCGTTCAGAATCAGGGAGTGTTTTAAAGAATAAAGTTTTCCCAGCTACGAAAAGAACATTCACCCAACCTGACCCAGCTGTGTGCTCACTGCCCCACCCATTCTCCAGTGGGAATCCACAGCTCCCTCTGGTGCTGAATGGACCCAGGAGCCTCTGAGGATGGCCTTGAAGGTTATCTACTCTTCTTTTTGTAAATCCTCACCCGAGGATATTTTTCTATTTATCTTCAGAAAGAGAGGGAGGGAGGGAGGGAGGGAGGGAGGGAGGGAGGGAGGGAGGGAGACAAAGAGAGAGAGAGAGAGAGAGAGAGAGAGAGAGAGAGACATCACTTGGTTACCTCCCACATGATGCCAACCAGGGCTGGGGAAAAACTGCAACCAAGGTACATACCCTTGACTGGAATCAAACCCGCCACTCATTGGTCTGCCGGTCAACACTTTAACCACTGAGCCAACTGGCCAGGGCAAAGGTTATTTACTCTTAATTGGGTTTGCTAGGGAACTGTTTTCATTCCATGTCCCCAGTGGTCAGGCGATGACATAACAGAGGCCTTTTGTTTCTACAAAATACTAAGAAGCCAATGCCTTTAAAAAAACAATACTTGCCCTGGCTGGTTTGGCTCAGCAGTTAGAGCATCGGCCTGCTGTCCAGAGAGACCCGGGTTTGGTTCCCGCTAAGGGCACGTACCTCGGTTGCAGTTTGTCCCCAGCCCTGGTTGGGTCATGCGGGTGGCAGCCACTGGATGTGTCCCTTTCACACTGATGTTTCTCTCTCTCTCTCTCTTCCTCTCACTCCCTCCCACTCTATCTGAACAAAAAATGGAAAGAATGTCCTCGGGTGAGGATAAAAAAAATTTAAAAAACCCAATACTTATTTATTTATTTAATGTAGAGATGTATAAAAGAAGAAGAAGAAAAAAAAAAGCCTATGATTCTGCAACCCAGTTAAACTTTGTTTACATTAAAAGAAATAATGTGCGCATAGGTTAGGAAATTTAAATATTATAGAAAGCAATGAAATGAAGAGAAATCATTTCCAACCCCTGTCCCTCAAAATTCCCTTTTCCCCAAGCTTATTTTTTAAATTCTACAGAAGGGATCATACATTTTCTGTACTTTGCTCTGTGTAACTTACATCTTAGTGCTCCTGTCTCCCTAGCACATACACAGGCGGACCTCATTCTTTTCAGTGCTGGTGTGCTCTGCTGTCCAGTGCCTGTACCATGACTTATTTTATCAGTCCCCTTATTGTGGACATTTACATTGTGTCTGGTGTTTGGCCATTAAAAGCAAGCCTGTAATGCATGTACATTTTTCACTTTTGTAAATATATCCAGGGTGAACTAGGAGTACAGATGCTCTAAGGATTGCAAGTTTAAAATGTTGATTCATATGGCCAAACAGGCCTTTGATTTCAGGAATTCCAATTGATTCTTTACATGTTATTTCCTTGTATATTGAGTGTATGTATCCTTTGGGTTAAGTAGAGAGTGAACTGCATTCTCTATCAGTACTTTTAGGGTATTTCAAGCACTGATGTTTATGACCATTTATTTTTTAATCCCTTTATAAGATGTTGGCTTGGCATAGTATGATTTTCCTTACCAACCGATTACCGGGGAGCAAGTTCTTTCAAGCTTTTCTCCCCCAAATTTAGGGTTATGCAGAAACAGTTCGGTATAGTGGAAATCACAAGGGGTAGGAGCCAGTCCTGGATCATGTTGACCGTATTGCTGGACAAAGAGATCTGGTCGATTACTAAGCCACTCTTAGCATTTTTTTTTTTAATCCTCACCTAAGGATAATTTTACATTGATTTTTTTGGAGAGAGTGAAAGGTAGGGAGGGAGAGGGGAAAGAGAGAGAGAGAGAGAGAGACATCGATGTGAGAGCTTCACATCAATTGGTTGCCTCCTGCACATGCCCTGACCAGGGCCAGCAATTGAACCTGCAACCCAGGTATGTGCCCTTAATGGGAAATCAAACCCAAGATCTTTCGGTGTACATGCTGACACTCTAACTGCTGAGCCACACCAGCCAGGGCTCACTTTCCTCATTTGTAAATGGAGATAATATCACTCATCTACAGGAGAAGTGAGACTTATGCTCACAACATTGTTCTCTTCCCCGCAATGGGTTCATTCATGTGCCCATGTTTCATTAACATTAAGAGTGTCTAGTTTGCAAAGGGAATAGTGTTAGCAGTGGATTCTTGGGGAACAGTTTTTCTGTGTTCAGAGCTTAGTGATTAAGGGACTTGGTCTTGATTCAGAGGTTCGTTTTATTGAGCAGAGCTCACCAATCACTTCATTCCCAACGAGCCATCTGCTCTGTAAACACATAGAGGGTCAATGCCTTCCTGTAGTACAGTCCCAGAATTTTGATGTTGGGATCAAACAGCCTGGTCCAGTTATTGGTCTAAGCTGAATAAGCCTCACTGTGTCCAGACGTCAGCCCCTTGCCTTTTGGGTGGGAATGAGTGAGCCCTTCTCATTAAACTCCTGAGTTATTTGATGAGACCCCAACCAAGACTCATCAATATTCAACTCTTAAACTGACTTTCATCTATAGATACCCACTAACAGAGAGAAGGGGGAGAGGAAAAAGAAGGGTGTACAATTGGCAGTGATGCTCTAAGGATACACAGGTTTATGGATGTCCCATAGTGCTTAGGACAGCTAGCCATCAGGATCAGGCAGGCCACTCTGGGGACAAAGGCAAGAGATAAGATAATGTACAGGGTAATGAACTGTGCCCACTGTCTTGGATGGGGGAGCCCTGGAGTAGGGTGTGGTACAGAATAACAGAGCATGGGCAGAAATTACATGGGATATTGTGTTCCTTTTCCTCCAGATTTCTGGCAAAGCCATTCCTAACTTTTCTTAAGAATGAAAAATAGTCTGAGATGTTCCCCCTAATAATTTCAGCTTTGAAAGAATTAGAACATGAAGACTGCCAACCAAAAAAAAATTTTTTAAAAATGTGTGTGTGTGTGTGTGTGTGTGTGTTATTCTGTTGTTGTTAATCTTCACCTGAGGATATTTTTTCCATCGATTTTTAGATTGAGTAGGAGAGAGGGAGGGAGGGAAGGAGAGAGGGAGCAGGAGAGAGAGAGAGAGAAACATCAATGTTAGACACATCTACTGGTTGCCTCCCACATACACCCCGACCGGGGCCAGGGATCGAACCTGCAGCCCAGGAACGTGCCCTTGCCCATAATCAAACCCAGAACCTCTCAGTGCCCAGGGCAGCACTCTAAGCACTTAGCCACACCAGCCAGGATGCCAACCAAAATATTTTTTTAACTGAAAGAAACAACACAAACCAACCCAGCCAATTTGTGAATTAACGGAAGAACTTTGATTTATCTTTTTTTTCAATCCTCACCCAAGGACATACTTAGAGAGAGAATGGGAGAGAGAGAGACAGAGGCAGAGACAGAGAAAGAGAGAAACATCTATGTGAGAGACAGACATCAATCGGTTGCCTCTGTGCATGCCCTGACTGGGGATCAAACTCAGGTATGTACCCTGACCGGAAATCACACCGGCAACTTTTTGGTGCACAGAGCAATGCTCAACCAACTGAGCCACTCCAGCTGGGCTGACTTTATCTTTTAAAAGTCTTAATAATATGACAGAACTGAGGAGCATTCATGATATTTAAAGGGATAGACAGGATTTTCTTCTAATTTGCATTTGATACTCCATCATTCCAAAATTATCTCTTCCATTATTGGATAACTCATTCATTCAGCAAATATTTTTGGAGTTCCTGCCACATGGTGGACATTTCTTAGTGGACACTAAGAAACAAGACAGCTGTATTCTGTAACCTCATATGTCACTTATGAATGAGAGGACAGGGGACTCAGAACCAGGCAGTATAATACAGTGAACAAGAGTAGTAATGACCATTTGAAAAGTACCTTCTTACATTAAACTATAATCTGGCTCCACCTGTTAGTTCTGTTTGATTCCCATGTACCAGGTTCTCTAGAGGAGTCTGTGAGGTTGACTTCCCTTCCCCCAAAGCAGAGTGGTTCTTCCCGATCCCAGTGTGCGATGGCGAGACCGTGGGGAGGGTAAGACATGCAAGGAAAGAGCAGTGGGGATTGAATTTCACTGGGACTTCTGAGGATCAGCGCAGAGAATACCTCCCAGAGTTGTGAATCCAGGGCACAGGAGGCTGGCTTCTAACTCTGTTGGTTGAGGCTTGCCACATGGCCGCATGAGCTCCAGAGGCTTCTGCAGAGAGCGATTGACACGGGTGTGCTCGGGTGCGATGATGCCATTCCACACAGCTGTGGCTGGGATTGGACACAGGCCAAACAGATATGACATGGGGCTTCAAAAGTGTCTGCCTAGAGACAGCAGATTCAAAAGTGACATTTGTGCCAACAAAGGGCTCAAGTTCAGTTCTTTGTAGGGCCACAGAGGATATATCAAATTCATCTTCTCCCTGAGATCCTGGAGTGTGCCTGTCCTGTGCTTCTTCATAATCCATTTTATATTTGGGGTATAGCCTATTTTTGGTTTAAAAATACTTTTTAATAAAATGCTTAATTTATGCATATCATATTTTAACTTTTTTTTATCCTCACCCGAGGCCATTTTTCCACTTTTTGTTCAGACAGAGTGGGAGGGAGAGAGAGGAAGAGAGAGAGAGAGAGAGAGAGAGAGAGAGAGAGAGAGAGAGAAACATCGACGTGAAAAGGACACATCGAGTGGTTGCCTCCCGCACGACCCAACCAGGGCCAGGGACAAACTGCAACCGAGGTACTCACCCTTAGTGGGAACCAAACCCGGGTCTCTCTGGACCGCAGGCCGATGCTCTAACCGCTGAGCCAAACTGGCCAGGGCTATTTTAACTTTCTTATAGCACCCTCATACCTTAAACTTTTGAAAGACGATGATAGCCTGTAATGGAACCACTTGAATTGAAATGCAGGCTTCTTTAAATTAACTACACCAAAAGCATTTGTGTCTTCAACTAGATTTCTGTGTATGCCACACATATGAGGCATTAATTTGATCCCAGTTTAAAATATTGTTCTTTTTTTAGGAAAATATTATTTTTATGATAGCTACTTTGACCTGCCAGGAGCTCTTCTATGTGCCAGAGTGGTGGACTCCTTAACAAAGGTAAAAGCTTCAGTTCATTTTTTAGAAAACTGATATACATATTAGTCATAAGTCAGAGGATTTAATTATGTATGTCTTTTGAATGGAGATTTTATTCAATTTCTTTTTTGTAGTTTTAGAGGTGACTGAGGAAGAAAAACAGAGAATTTGGCCGAAATGTTTTTGGAAAATTAAATAAGCAGTGACCAATTTTCTCCCCAGGGATGATAAACTTATTCTCCAGCAGGGGGTGCAAAAGTCTAGAAAGATAATACAGAGCTTGGAATCTGCCTAAATTTTTAACCGAGCAGGTTACAGTGGGTAGTCATGCCCCAGGCATATAACTTTTTAATAAAAGTTTTATCTTTGCCTTTAGCAAGCCCTGTCTCTTGTTTCTGTGCATCTAGGTTAACATACTTTTGAAATAAACTATAACCACCCTTAAAAGAGCACATATCTTGTTAACTATCCTGTAATCCAATTCCTGCCTTGCTTTCTCCTACCTCCATGTAATCTTCCTTGTTTCCTCATTAATTTCAAATGCATTAAAGAAGCTGCAAAACCATTATTCTGCAGAGCATTTGAGATCTTGTTCCCGGCATGTGTCGTCAATTCGGCTCAAATGAACTCTCATGAAAATTCTCTACAGGTTTGAACTTTCTTACTTTGACATCTATATCTCAAGTCTATAATGTGATTTTAACTCTGCATTCTCTACTGATTGGTCCCATGTGCCAGCAAAATAAATTTGGTGCCTAGTACCTGCCTTAGTTTTCTGTAGCTGAAGTCACACCCCCATTTTGGACTTCATATTTTGAAGGGTGGGTCAGAAAATATATGCCTAAAGCTCTGTTTGCTTCTTCAGAAAATGTAGTCCAGTTATGGAGTAAAAGCTTGCTGCTTTTAAATAAAGCAAAAGAATAGAAGTGTTTTATCTTGCTTTCAACTTGTAGAATCGACGTGGAAAAAAACAGAAAATATGCAAAATTATTAATGTCAGTTCAATAAATTATACTTTATTTAAAGCAAAAAAAAAAACTTGCATCTGGAAAAAAATATTTTCTTCACTTTATTAACAGAATAAAAAAAAAGTAGAAGTAATTAAGAAAATTCTACCTGTCTTGAAGCATTCTAAATAATATAAAACCAGAAAATGAGATAAAATTTTATAATTCGTCACTTTGGGCATAGTTTAATGCATACACACTTTTTTTTGTACTGTGTATCAAAATTAAATAGATTTCTAGTCATGTCCATTTATTCTTAGAATTTAAAACCTATGAACACAGCCCTGGCTGGTTTTGCTCAGTGGTTAGAGCATCAGCCCACATCAGCCCGCATCAGCCTTTGGACCAAAGGGTCTCTGGTTCACGACCCGGTCAAGGTCACATACCTCAGTTGCAGGTTTAATCCCTGGCCCCAGTTGGGGTTGTGTGGGAGGCAACCAATTGATGGATGTCTTTTACATCAATGTTTTTCTCTATCTCCCCCTCTCTCCCTTCCTTCCCCTAAAATCTAGCTAAAAATCAATGGAAAAATGTCCTGGAGAGAGGATTAACAAAAAATAAATAAGTAAAACCTATGAACATAAACTGGTTTTATGTCAGAATCAGTTTCCTTTTTGCATATGTTATCTTTTAAAATCACAATGATCATGTTCATATAGAACATAGGTAGTGGTTTATTTTTCACTCAGTATTCTAGTCACTCAGTATTCTAGTCATGTGTTTATGACAGTTTCTGTGGAGTAATAGTTCTGTTATGTTGGTAGAAATTGTTATTAACATGAGATGGAGTCAGTTTCTCATTTCATAGTGACTACAAGCAAATGAATCAATCTTTAAACATTTTGGAATTTTTATAATAGATACAAATATCTAGCAGCTGATCTTTGTTTAGATGTAAATACTGCTTAATAATTCCAAGGAAGTAGAGGGATTCTGTGTTTTAATATAATGTTCATTTGCTTTCTGGTTTTAAAAAAATCTTAATAAAAATGATTGACATTCTGGATTTAGAACCTCCTATAGGCCACCTTTATAGATTTGCTGTCCTTTTATATTGAAATTCAGGTAAAATGTGCACTGAATTCTAAAATAACCAGTTTTTAGGGTTTTAAGGTTTTGGGATTTTTAGACACATTCTGATGTCTCAGAAGCTATAACATTATAAATTTACCATGCATTTAAAATATTCTGCAATATTTATACTTTCTAATGAGTGGAATGTTTTTATTTGGGTCATATAAGCTATATTACTATTTAGTTGTATGTGTATGATTATTATGGAAGATTTTTCTTTTTAAAATCATGTTTAGAAGAATGAGAAGTTTATTAACCCATTATGTCTTCTGAAACATGCGTCCCTATTTTAGAATACAGTAATATTGTAATTGTTTGCCAAGTATTTTCTATTATGCTTAGAAAAAGAATTATTCCATGTGTTACATTTGGAAATTTATTTTATTTTTTAGCAGAACAATGGTCAGAAAACATTTGATTTTTGGAAGGATATAGTTGCTGGTATACAACATAATTATAAGATGTCAGCTTTTAAGGGTGAGTAGTGTAAAGACTTTCTAATAGATTTTGTTAAATGCTGTGTGTTTAGTGACTTACTTAGACACTGTCTATTCTGCTGTGTTCCTTAGTTGGGATATAATTTGATCCTAAATATCACTATAAAATTGGTTCCATTTACATGCGAAGAGGATCTTTTGTCTATGTCTGTTTCATGGCTATAATTGTCCATATTCTGAGCTGCACCGTCTTTTGCATACCTGTCAATAGGGTCATTTTTCTTTGTTTCCCAGAATTGAAAGTCTGGTTTTGCTGTTTCCCGGCTTGGGAATGAGGGTCGGTGACACCTGTAACCATTAGTACAGTACTTATAGACAGTTGGGAAAAGTGAAAATTCCATTTTTTTTTTTTGCTTAAAACACAGGACTGGCTGACACCCAGAATGTGGGCAGAGATATCACCAACCCAAGCCTAGGGTTTCTTGGTTCTGTTCACAGGTTTGGGTTACACAGATTACTTCTAAGGTATAAAGAGATGCCTTTAGAGTATGTGACCTTGGTGACTCAACCAGACTGTCCTGATTCAACCCATAGTCTGATAGATACGCAGGAGCAGTATTTTTCAGCTTAGAAAAATGTCCCCCACCTTTTTTTAGAGAGAGAAGAAGGGGGTGGGGAGAGAGAGAGAAGTGGTTGTTTTCCAAAGGCATCCCGACTGGGGATCGAACCCTCCACCTTTTAGTGTGTGGGAGGATGCTCCAACCAACTGAGTCACACCGGCTAGGAAAAATACTGCCTTTTGATTGACATAAAAATTGCTTGCCTTCTTTTAATGTAATTGAAGTCATCAAAATAATCCTAAATATTATGACTAAAAACATATCAAGGCAACAAACAGTAACCGCAGAATATTTGTTCAAATTGCATATTTCTCTGCCACCTGCTTCTTTCCCTCCCAGAAGAAAATCACTGGCGCAGGGTGATTGTCTTACTTTTCTCTCCCAGCCACCAACCCTCCACCCTGGCTCATAGGTCACACGTGGTTGTAAGGGTACCTTTTCACTGTCCACACTGAGTGCCTGGGTGTGTGGGAATGCCCATCTTCAGTGGAGAGGCATATCCATAACAACTGTAAAGCCACCCATCACTTTATTGTTTTACTTTTTATTAGCTTATAAAATGAAAAGCCTTAAGAGAATGGTTGAGAATTGCAAACTGGTACTGTCAAATAAATTCCGCATAAAAATCTATGGATGTTATTTTATTGCATTGTAAATAAGGAGTAGGTAAAACATTTCATGCTTTCATACATGAGGTACAGCTTATAAGTTTTAAACAGCAATATAAAAATACAGTACAGAGCATAAATAAATAGTGTCTTCATTTCTAGGCAGATTTTGAAACCCTTGACATTAGTTATAATTTCACTGAAATGGGAGGCACAAGGTACATACTGTAAACCCACAAAATCATATGATATAAAACTCAATACAGGAATTAAAGAAGTGAAATTAATTACACTTGTGTTCAATAAATACAGTAGGTCAGACACCTACTTCCAGGTTATGAAGGGTATAAAGAAAGCTTTTCTGTAATCAGAAAAGTTTGAAAACGTTCATGACTAAAGCACCTTGTATTTCAGATTAATTTTAACATAATATTTTGTTTTGTTTTTTTATGAGAGCCATAAAAAGTCTATTTGTAAGGGGCCATATAAGCCTTCGAGTAATGCACCATCAGAAAGATCCTATGATATACAATGTCTTTTAAATTTGAATATTCAAGTATTTAAATTATATAAAAATATGATACCTCCTGAATGTTTCCTAGAAGTTCTGTTAATTGTGAGAAACAGGCTTATTTCAAAAGGAAATGCTGAGATTATGAAATCAGATTTAACATAGTATAGCATCACAGGTCAGGGTTTTTGTGATCATTTTATATTTTAACTTAGTAGGACTTTTATGGTGAAATTTTTTAAACGGAAGGACTTCACAAAAAAACTCTAAAGAGTCTTACGGCTGCTGACTAGGAATCTGAGAGGGTCTTCACCTATTGTTTACCACTGCTGCTCGATTTTTCAGAGAGAAAATGTGTTGGTCTGAAAGCTCAAATCTGTACTTTGGAAAGTTAAAATGAGTGATATCATTTCAGCCTACATCCATATGCATTTTGTGGGGTGGGGTAAAGTTGGGGAATGCCTTTTCAAGCAGATTTATATTAGCTTGGTGGGAATATGCTCACATTGGAGCCACTAGGAACCCTGAGAAAGAGGAGTGGACATACTCAGAGGAGTACAGGCCATTGGACTCAGCGTTGGGCAGTTGGAGCCACACCTGGTCATTTTCTGTGAGGTCGATGACGGCACTGCCTGAAGCCTGATCCAAGTAGCCCTTGGCGTATTCATCATATGTGTACATTACAGGGGTGCCATTCTTATACAGACCTACCCAAACATGGGTCCCTTTGACATGCACGTGGTAAGAGAAATAGTATATTCCCGGTATCTTGCAGGTAAAGATTCCAGTTCTTGGGTCATAATGCTGTTGCTTGTTATACAAAATCTTATCGAATGGGATGGGAGTACCTATTGCTGGGTAAGCTTTGGAGAGAATAACAGTGAAAGCAGACACGGGCATTCCTGTTACTCCCTGGTTGGCACTAACAAGAGGCATTCCAGAAATACTGGGCCTTTGGCCTGCCTTTATAAAGCCCTCAGGAAGGGCTGCTTGGCCTGGGGGACCTGGAGGACCTGGGGGCCCTGGAAGGCCAGGCTCTCCATCGTGGCCTCTCGGACCTGGAGGCCCTGGTGGCCCGGTGGGTCCATTGAGACCCTTAGTTGCTATGCCAGCTGGCCCAGGAAGACCTGGAGTTCCTGGATCCCCTTTAGACCCAGGGAATCCTGGAATGCCGGGTGGCCCAATGGGGCCTCTGGTACCTGGTATTCCAGGAGCACCTCTTGGACCTGCCTCACCATTGTGTCCAGGCATTCCCTTAGCTCCCGCTGGGCCCGCAGGGCCTGGGAGACCAGGAGATCCTCCCACTCCAGGCTCACCTTTCGGGCCTGGTAACCCTGGGTGACCCTTGGGACCATTGAGACCAGGTTCTCCTGGGTACCCTGGTTTTCCATCCAAACCTGAGGAACCCCTTTCTCCCTTAGCCCCAGGGCGTCCTGCAGGCCCAACCGGCCCTGTCTCACCTTTAGGGCCTGGGATCCCATGGTTGCCTGGGATGCCCTTTGGTCCTTGGGGTCCCATATTTCCAGGGGGTCCAGTCAGACCTGGCTCCCCAGGATGGCCCGCTGGGCCTTGTTCTCCTTTGGCACCTGGACCCCCTGGAAGGCCAACAGGTCCTCTTTGCCCCTTCAGGCCTGGCAAGCCTGGTTTCCCAAAGCCAGGAGGCCCTGGGGGTCCCGCTATTCCTGGAGCCCCAGGATGACCTTTGGTTCCGGGAACCCCTGGCTGGCCTGGGGCTCCAGCAGCTCCTGTCTTTCCAATGCCTTCTTGTCCTCGTTCCCCAGGAGGACCTTGGGGGCCTGGGGGCCCAGTTGGTCCCCTTTCTCCTGGAATGCCTCGATCACCTTTGATACCTGGCTGTCCTGGAAACCCATTTTCACCTCTTTTTCCCACCCCAGGGGGCCCAGGTGGTCCCATGGGACCCTGAGGACCTGGAAGGCCCCTCTCACCTGGACGGCCAGGAGCACCGTATCCAGTTTCCCCCTTCTGTCCATTCACACCAGGGACCCCTGGTGCACCCTTTTCTCCAGGAAAGCCTCTGGGTCCCACAGCTCCTGGGGATCCCTGTTGTCCGGGTTTTCCTGAAACAGAAATTCCAGCTGGGCCGGGAATTCCAGGTGGTCCTGGTGGGCCCCGTGGTCCTGGTAAACCAGCTGGTCCAATATCTCCTTTTGGTCCATATGGTCCTCTCTCCCCTGGTTTTCCTGGCAGTCCTGGTAAGCCTGGCTTCCCAGTGCCTGATGGTCCCGGTGGTCCTGGCAATCCGGGCTCTCCTTGAGGTCCAGGACTTCCGTAGCCTGGTTTTCCTGGTGGCCCAGAGGGACCTGGGTGCCCTCGAGGTCCAGTGGGGCCTGGTGGACCGGGAATGCCTTGCTCTCCTCTTACTGCTATACCTAAAAGACACAGACAATACACACACTCAGAGAAGGGCATTGTTAGTAACATTAGGGATAACCATTGCTTCTCAAAACATGAGTCAAGACAGAACATTGCAGTATCAATCAATCCATTTTAGCAGACCAGTCTCAAATGGTTTTAGACAGTACATTTTATATTGTTTTTAAAAACTGCTAGAGAAGATGGTTTCACAAGACTATAGCTACCATAATACTTTCATTACAACCTAGTAACCCATGAAAATAAACTGGGATTGAAGAAGTCATCTGGAATAAGAGTGCAGTAGAAGCATATTAGATTTATTTTGGGAAAATCATCTACCTGGAAAGGAAAGAAAAAAACAACAACAGTATCTTATCGAAAAGGAAGAAAAAGACAAGTGCAGAATAAATGGGAAAATATTTAAAAACTGACAGTTTCCCTCACAAAAGCTATTCTATGAGACATAAATGAGAAGTACCCTTAATTCTAATTTCCATCAGCCACATCCCTGCTGAACACAGGTTAGATTTAGGTTAATTTTTTTTTTTTTACTTTACTACATACTATTCACTCCTACATTGTCCATTGTTGACTTAAACTTGAAACAAAGAATTAGAGAAATAGATCTAATGGGATTGGTAAATAAAATAGTATTAAAGTTTTCCTTGACAAATGCAAATAAATGTTTATTTCATAGAGCAATGGGTTCATTTGAGCTAAAGACTTCTAATATAATAAATTTAAACTCAAAAATCACTTATTCATTGTTTGAGATGTGAAAAGTGCTATTGAACCACAAGTGTGGGGGGGAGCAGAGGGTGCATCCCCTAAGAGCTTCAAGAGATGTCCAACAGCTGTTTCAGTCATGCAAAGGCGGGATATAACAGCATTGCTGGCCTAGGATATACCATTAGGAAGTATATTCAGTCTTTCTCAGAGAACTTCTTTAACAGCGAGCAAAGATGGTAATAAAATTGCATATTATTTTAAATATCTGGTTGTATAATTGACATTAAAATAATTTTCTGTTAAAGAAATTTTCAGAAACATAATTATAATGCCTCCATGTACTGTGTAGATTCTTATACTGTTGGAAAACAGATCATTGTAATGATAGATTTAGTAGATGTCACAGTGGTTTAATAGTCTGGTCAAAACCCTGAAAAGGACTTATGCCTATGACTTTTGAACCACATTTTTTTTGTACAAAAATGAATAATATGCTTAAGCACTACTTAACTAAATCTTTAATGGCTTTAAAATTCAAAATGGATACTAACTTAGAATTAACATTAAATGAATTGAAATTATAAATTGAATTATAAATTGTCTTTGAAAACATTTTGGTGGGTACAGTTCCCTTTATTAGTTGTTATTACATTATTATATTTTTAAAAAATCTTTCATATTAATTAACGGGCATGTATGAAGGAATCAGCCAGCAGCAACTGCTATTATTATTCTCTTGGGTAGAGATGTTTCTGATATTTGAAAAACACATACTTGTTGACAAATGGAATATAAATTATAGAGCAGAATCATTAAAATAGGTATACTGAAATAGGAAAATCATTTTAGACTTGGGTATCTTTATATTTTGTGCTAATTAGAGTTACATTTCATTTTGCAAACATTTAAATATATGGAGCTTGGTTTACCCATGGATTTTCAGAAAAGAGTATCAGAAAAAAAGACTATGAGAAAAATCAGTCTATAGAAAGGATTCCCATATGTTAACACAAATCTCATAATTGACTTTAGTGTATATGATATCTCTATAAATATGGGTGTCAATACATTGCAAATAGAATAAGCAAATAAAAGTTTTTCTTAATGGTTTGAAATAAAATAGTGCATTTTTTAAAATGCAAACTATGTTACATTGGGGTTTGCTTCAGAATATTATAGATTGTGTCCATATTGAAAATAATTGTCTTAGTGTTTTTAGAAATCTTTTTGTTAAAATGGAAAATAAACAAGTCTTATTGAAAATGACTGCATAAGACACCATTTCAGACTAGAACTGTAAAGAAAGAGTGATCTCTGTCACTTGGAATGTGGTACACATAAAACATAAAACATACACATAAATGCAGTAATGTATCTTAATGCACCCTGCACCTCTCAGTGCAAGAAAGACTGATTTGTGTTGTGTCCTTGGGGGACAGCACCTCTTTGTAACTTGCCATCTGAACATGTTCAAGATTTAGGTGGTACCATTGTCAAGGAAAAACAATTTGATAACTTTAATTTGCTCAAAATTGTTGTTTCCAAAAGCATAATTTTTAAAGTGAATGGCAAATATCCTTAGCTTTATTTACAGGATAAACTATATAACTATAATGAGAAAATTTTATGGAAAGAAATTGAATTCTATTCAGTTAAACCCAGTAGATGCTTTACAGGAGCATGTGTCAGATGTTGGTAAATGGTATTAGTGGACATGAACCCTAATCATTGCTCTTCTTTGGGGATCTGTTAGCACTTTACTTAGCGTTTTCTCAGTCCTCTTATAGGAGCCAGGAAAGCTGAACAAATGAAGAACAGATTTAAGAAGAAAGTTAAAACAGTCTAAGGCTATACCACCTGTATACTGTGACGGTGGGGGGCGTGTAGTGATAGCCTGCACTTAAGCACCTTACAGATATTAACTCCTTTACGTGTCATAACAGCCTTTGACACAGCTTCTTTCACAAAAGAGAAAACTAAGGCACCAAGAGGATGAGTAGCTTATTTGGTTACACAGTCTGTGCTTAACTACTAAACTATACACAGATGTATAAAAAATTATGAGAATAGTTACTTCATTTGTCTATTCAATTTCTGAGGGCATCAGGTTTTATTTGATCACTAATACTCATTTTTGTAGATATTTGTGAACTAGCGGAACAGGTTTTAAAAGTAAATATGTGTATTTAGATATATAAACCTGCTACTCTTTTTTGTGCAGTTGGCAGTTATTTTAGTTAAACCATTTTCAACTTGATTAATTTTGATTAGATTAGTATTTCTAGATTATGAATAGTTGTTTATGCAAAGGCATCATTTGAGGGGGGAATTTTCCACACATAAAAAAGTTCAGGTATATCTTTCTACTATACTTATTGTACAAAGAATATTATGTTCTTAAATAGACCTGCTTTTTCCATAAATCATTTTGGGCTAATTCCAGAATTTGAAAAGAATATAACACCAAACAGAGTTAATAGCATTTTGTTAAAGAGATCATTAAGATTGTAGAAAGCAACAACCTACTAGTTAATCAAGTAATAGATACAGTTCAGTTTACCTTTACTCTTTATGGCATAGGGAATGAAGAACTGTGTCTTGGTGTTGGGTACTGGGCCTTTTATGCCTGTAGGTGTTTGGTATCTCTCAGCATAAAACGCTCCATGAACCAAGTTCAAGGACATCAGCAGCAAAAGGGCTGTTTGTGGCAGCATGTTCTCAGATGGATTCTGAAAAACAGAAAAGAAAACTAATTTAATTTAACTTTGTTTATTGACCTGTTTATTGACTGTTTATTCCTATACAGTTATCTATTTTTTAATCTTACATATTTTGAATGTATTTTGTAATTAATGAGTTATAATTTTTTAGTTACATGAATATATCTTTTGGGAAGCCACTTTCAAGTAGTGAAGTAAATATGAAATGAAAAAAAAGAAAGAAACACAAACTGTAATTGATTGTATTAAATAATTTAGGATCTTTGACATAGACAATAATATGGAATAGTTTCAAAATACTGAAATTCAGATTAGGGCATGTTTTTGCAAATCCAGTTTTATTAGAACTATCTTACATAGCAGCCTTAGCAAATTGAACTTTCTGAGTGCATTTTAGTGGAAAGCCATTTTTTTTAAAAAATCACAAAATCCAAGTAGCTAATTTATTGAAGCTTGTTTCCAAGCAAGTTTATACAGAAGTCCACCTGTGAGCATCGAGTCATAGACTTACCTGAGTGCTGGGAGTTCCTGGAGATGGTTTCTTGGCCGCTTTCTGAGGCCTCCTGTACCCAGGTGAGCAATGCAGAAGATGCTCCCTCCAGAGCTGTCCTGCAGTATTTATACTGGTTTCCTCCTACTACATGAGGTCATCCTGAACTTAAGCTCCTCCCCCAGGGGTGGAAAGCAGTAATTATGGTGGAAAGTTCTATTGGGCAGACTTACAAGATCAGGTTGGACTGTCCCTCTCCTTGTTTTCTTATTGAAAAATAAACTCTTTGTCTTAAATATATATTAATAGTTTTAAGCATACACCATCTTTTTCTATGATTTTATTTTAGAAGTTATTACTCAGATGTTTAGGTTTGTTCATGGTGGTATGATACTACCCTCTTTATATTTTTGAAAACCACATTCTTGTGTTATTTGGTTGAAAATATTTGGTAGTATATAAAGGGAAGAAGTCTTTTGGAGGGGCGTGTGAATTTAAAACAGTATCTAAATTCTTTAATTATTACACAAAGCCATCAATGTGTCCATTAATGTTCCTAAACTTTTATGAAAATAGCTTACCCCAATTCTTACTTATTTTTAGGCTTGAGAGTAACATAGTGGTGAAAATGTAGGTATGCTGTTTTGTATTTTAGGATTTTAGTGTAAGCCCTCAGAAGTTATTAAGAGAAATTTTAAATATGATAACATATGAATATTTCAAGTTTTACATATTATTTAAAATTTTTCAGACAGAGGCAAGACATCCATGAATGTGATAGTAGAGTTGGCACTGTAATTACCCTGAAGGATTTAGTTTATTCCCAGCACTATGTGCACTAAATGACTTCAGGTTTTATTGCTTAATTTTGGATTTTACTTGAGAGTTGCATTAGAGATTGCAAAAAAACCTTAACTTGATAATGTCATATCATGTTTATTTTAAATAAGGTTCCTCTGTTCATTTTAGAAGAAAAAAATTTTTCAAACTTGATTTCAGCTTTGAAAAAATAATCATTAGCTTGTGTTGTAATTTCCATCAGGGATCTTGAATCAGCCCAATTAGAAATATTTTTTTCCCCAAAGATGATTATAAATATTGTCGTTGTCATTTTAAAGAGTTAACATTCTCTTTAACAATTAGGAGGTAAGTTTTAGGAATCCTGTAGAATCTAATAAAGATAAAAAGTTGAGAGGCTAATTTTTGTATTTATTTAATTGTATTATTTTGGAGCTAAATCAGATCCACTGTACAGGTGAAGTAGGTGTGAGAAAGAGCATTTCATGCAAAGGCATAGATACAAGTTTTTAAAAAATCTCTGTAGAAGTAAAGTGATATGGATTCAGAATTGTTCAGCCATGGAAATAATTGAATGTTTGACCAGTGAACAGAATAAAAGTTTGTTCTTTGTCCTTTCCTTTCCTCCTCCCCTGCATACAATTTTCTGTATGGCTTTTGAACAAAGCCTGTGTAGCACCGTGTAGAAATGTAAATGCTAACTCATCTTACTGCCTTCCTTTCTCCTAATTCTCACTTTTAAACCTTTTATTGTTTACCATATTAAAAATCCACATCATTATATATGTCTGTTTAATACTCATTGATACACATGAAGTGTGGCTTTGTATCAGTTCAGATTAACTGGAGAATTGGAAAGTATATGCCAATCATCTTTTACCATTTGGAAATTATCTATGGAGTGGCTTTGGTAAAGATTACATGTACTGTACTATGTCTGTAAAAGACCACAAAAGGTAAGAGTGGCCGCCTTCCATCTGCCTATGGTTCATTTGGGCAAGATTTTGAACTAGTCGGTGGGGTGACATTGTGGATGCTCTTGAATGCTAGGCTGAAGAATTTGTTTGAAAGAAGTTATTGGAAGAACATGTTCTAGTATTTTTGTGTGTATGTATGGTTATACACACACACCTACTTGTTTATGATTGAGATGGATACCCTTTATGCGAAAGTTCAGAAGATTTATTTTCAGCTCTCCATACCTAGCATTGGGCACTGCATAGACTCTTTGTTCATCTGTGGCTACTGTAACTATTTTCAGAGCTTTTCACCTTAACCTCTCTAGGTGTCTGTTTTTTCATCAACACAATGAAAAGGTTGGACTAGGTTTTTAAGCTCCTCCCAGCTTTAAAATTAGATGATTCTTGTGCTTGAGGTATTCTGCTCTTCCCTGTGGTCAGACAGTGGGCTTGGATTCATTAAGTACTTATGTGAGGCAAAATCCATAGCAGGTGGTCCTATGCCTTCTTTTTGGGGTATGTAAATATATTTGGGTATTTGTCATTTTATATTCCTCTTTAACTTTGGGAAATGTGGTATCTTTGTTGAATAAGCCTTGGATGTTCAACCCTTTCTGCAAATAGTGTACTTATTTCAGCCCAGGGACTCTGACTACTGTTTGCTTTGTTAGTCACACAAGAAGCAATGTCTTGTCCAAACAGATTGTAGAATCAGAATATTTGCTGGCCACACCCCACCCAATTGTGTATTTAAAACTATTTTTGTTCTGGGAGTTTACTTGTAGCTGTTTGAAGTGACTAGTCTGTGGCTTTATGACAAAAACCCATTCCACTTAAAACAGAGAGCCTGCTCTTTAAACTCAGTAACCTACATGAGGATGTGTTTATTGATTTTTAGAGAAAGAGAGAGAGAAACATCCATGTGAGAGAGAAACATTGATTGGTTGCCTCCCATACATGCTCCAACCGGAGATTGAATTTAGGAATGTGCCCTGACTGGGAATCGAACCCTCAAACTTTTGGTGTATGGGATGACACTCTAACCAGCTGAGCCACCCGGCCAGGGCCCTAAGTGATTTTTTAAAAATATCAAATATGATGTTTTTTGCACATCTAACAGTTAGCTGCTATTAAGCTTGCCTGTTTATTTTCACTTCACAGGGTCATTCATTAATTCACCAAGTATTACTTGAGTACTACTATGTGTCAGGCATGGAAATAAAAACTAGATGAATAATGTACAGCTCTTACAATATTTAAACAGTGGTTCTCAACGTTTTTCCCTACTTGCACAGTCCTGAGGGATATTGCAGAATTCCTTCAGTCTTTGAGGCTTATTAAGATAGTGGTGGACCAGAGACTATATTTTGAAAAAGCTCCTCAGGTGATCATGATGGGTTTCTAGGTTGGAATGTTTTAGTCTGATATCAGTGTTCTAGTATCAGCTTGTTAATATTAGCTACATAATTTTGTTGTTTTTGTTTGTATGGCTTTTAACTTTATTGTAGAAATTGTATCTTACATATAGAAGTAGAGAGATTAATTAAAATGCATGACTATGTACTTCCACCATAGCCCACGCAAGCCACCATGATCAGGACTTCTGGCTCGAAAAACACCTCAACATTGACCAAGCCAGCTCCAGCATACATTGCATATTTCTCAAGTCAGATTTATAAAACAGGGAACATGCAGAGAAGTCTGGCTTCTGTTTCTGCCCTATTCACTCAGTATTTCACCTCCTCTATAAGTAACATTAAAAAATATATATTTTTACATTCATTGTATTATTTAAAATTAGAGTACTTATTTAAAAACATAATTCATTCATATACCCTTTCAATTTCTTTGATAAATGTCATCATAATATACATGCTTAGTTCTTCTTCTTTTTATGTAACCATTTATCTTGGAGATCATTAATATGGTCCACATTCCTTTTTACTGCTGCATAGTACTCCATTGCATGAGTGTACCATGGCTTTTTCAGCCTTTTCCCTGTTGATAGTCATCCCTGCTGTTTCCTCTCTTTTGCTAATATAAATGCCACTAAAGTGAATAATTTTGTGTGTAGATATTTTTGTCTGTCTTTTAGAGAGATTCTTACAAATGGGATTCATGAGTTAAAGATAAATACATATGTAATTCTGTTATATTTCATTAAATTGCCCTCCATAGGTGTTGTATTATTTTGCATTTCCACCAGTGTGACAGCGCCTGTTCCCCCACAGCTTCCTCACTAGGATATGTTGTTAGGTTTTTGCCCATTTTAGAGGTAAAAGTTGGAATCCTGATGTAGTTGTAATTTTCATCCTTCTTTCACGATGTACTAGAGCATCTTTCCATAGAGTTCAGACCATATTTCTGGCCCACTTTTGCTCTGTGTTCTGTATCTTAGGAATATGAACCTCTTTTCTGTAATATAGTTTACACATATTTTTTCCCAGTTTGTCATTTGTCTTTTTAGTTTGCTTATAAGGGTTTTCTTTTTCAGTGCAACATTTTCCATTAAGATACATAAATTTTTTTATTCAGAATATTATTCTTTTATAGTCGCAGAGCTGTAAGGGACATTAAAGGTCATTTAGATCAATCATTTCATTCTTCATACGAGGAAACTAGTTTCTCTGTTAGGAATGTCTCATTTCCTAATGTTTAATCAAGTTAAATTTCTGAAATGAAGAGCTGTTGATGAGAGAGCCCATTGAGGGAAAACACCACCGACTAAGCTAATGTGTTTATCTCCTTACCCAAGCAGGATACTGATTTTCCTGTTCCTCTAGTCCTTTAGTCTTTTAGCAGTGGAAATGGGGACAGTGCCCAGAAGTTTAATTAGGGCACTTGGAGACACACAGCTTCCACCACCTAGCTATACCTCATTTCTCTTGAAAAAGTTTTAAAAGAACATTCTCTGGTGCTATTACAGAGCCCAGAAGCTAAAAATGATTTATTTGTGTAAATAGTCTAATGTGGTTTAGTGGTAAGATACCTGCTGAGGGTTTGAAAGGAGAAATTCATGCATAAAAACAGGTGTTTATGAAAACCCCTGACACTTTAGGCCAGGTCAAGAAAAACTGAGAGTCATTTAAAAAGTTTGAACAAGGGCCTTATATTCTATTTCCCATTATACATGAACTGCTACATTACTTAAAGAATTCATAGTTTTGTGTCCCCGGTGCTTAATGACATCATTGTCTTTCCATAATAACTTGCCCAGTTAAAAATATAGAGCTTCTTGGCCCCTTGGCCTAAAATCTTCAAGGATCTTG